TCGAAACACCAGTTGTGGGGCTCAGCTTCAAGTGGAGCTCGCAGAGAGGTCAGCCAAGCCACATTTAGGGTTAAGGGCTTCCTGCATGTATGTACAACATAAGCCAGTAGGATTCCCACACAGAGGTAAAGATCACAGTCCCAAGGAAAGATTAATCAAAAATAGCTGTTAAGCCTCAGTGCTTGTAAATAGACCTCAGGGGTCTGTTTCACTCCTGCATACATGTTATCTTACAGCCTGCTAGTCTCCTTTCTCAGCAGTAAAACGGATTGACCCAGAGAGGACAAATTATACCCAGGTGGGAAGCAAAGTTGGGCCAGTGCTTAACCCCTTGCGTCCTGCTACAGACCTTCCACTGCCACCCATTTACCATATGAACCTCAAAATTCTATCTAGCAGATACAAACCATCCACAACTAACAGGGGATTTGATATATATATATATTATATTATATATATATATATGTCACGGTCTCCCCCTCACTCCCCTTCATCCTCCCCCCTCCTGTCACGGCTCCCCCCTCGCTCTCCTTCATCCTCCCCCCTCCCTTCCCCTTACAGGCCCCTATGTCCGGCACAAGCCTACATCAAAGGCTGTGCCAGAAGTCAGAGATCTGCCCCCTGCGGTGCGGTTCGCACCTCTCCTTGGCTGGACACTGAGGAGTCTGACACCCCGCTGTGCCTGCACCTGGATTTTCCACATGCTGGCCACCTGGGTGTCTTCGCGCGCCCCCCTCCCCTTGTCTCGGCAGGCACAGCTCGGCTCTGAATTTCCCACGCTCTGCGCCCGCCGGAGACAAAGGCTGCGCTCCCTGTGCGTGGCCGGAGTGAGGGGGGCAGGGCTTGTTGCCCCGAAAACTCAACGCCGGGCTGACCGTTGCCGGGGCAACCCGGAAGCGTCCTGCTCCGGCGAGATAAAAGACTGGAGCAGGACCTGAGTAGACTGTTCGTTCCCCGCTCGGGACAGGGTGCTGTGTAAGGTCTGAGCTGAGGCCAGACCCCACAGCCATGGAAAGCTGAGCCCCATGAGGGTCCCTGTCTGCTGACCGCTTTGTCCCTGGAAAGCTGTTCCTGTCCGCTGGCCGCTGTTTGAAGGTCTGAGCTGAGGCCAGACCCCACAGCCCAGACCCCGCTGAATGTCCGCTGATCGCTGTTCATCCCTGGAAAGCGATCCCTGTCTGTTGACCGCTTTGTCCTGGGAAAGCTGTTCCTGTCTGCTGATCGCTGGTTGTCCCTGAAAAGCTGAGCACCGTGAGGGTCTCTGTCTGCTGACCGCTTTATCCCTGGAAAGCTGTTCCTGTCTGCTGGCCACTGTTTGTCCCTGGAAAGCTGTTACTGCCTGCTGACCGCTGTGTCCCTGGAAAGCTGAGTGCTGCACGTGTCCCTGTCTCTTGACTGCTGTGTGCCTCTGGGAAGTCACCCCTGCCTAAACCGTGAGTTCTCATATTCTCCTGCCTGAACTGCCCCCCTTGAATCCATATATTGCCCTGTCTGGACTGCCCCCACTGAATGCACCCATACTTTCCCTGCCTGGACTGCCCCATTGAATCTATTATCCTTCCTGGAACTGGCCACTTAGATTAATACTTGCTCAGACGACCTATTGCGTGACTGGATTATCGTAGCTACCTTGACTGCCCCCCCCTCCTGAGAGCTCAGGCCATCCCTACCCGAATCGCCCTATAATGGGCCGGATTATAAACTGTTTGGACTCCTCCCCCCTCTTCCCCCCCTTTTTGGGAACCCGGACGCTACCTTCCTACCCTGATTCAGTGCCTCCCATATTTCAATAAAGCTTTGTGTGTTTATCATCCTCCGTGTGCGTTCTGTCCTGCCTATGCTTCCGTCACAATATATATATATATATATATATATATATATATATACACACATATATATATTTATATATATTGCAAAACAATATGTGGTATATATGTACTGTATATATAAAGCATTGTGGAAAAGTGCCTATATATAAAGGTAATTGTTAATTTCAAAAATATCATTTACAACCTACCAAAGTCAGCATACAAAGTGAATAAACAGAGAAAAAAAAAAACTCAATACCTGGTGTATCCACACTTTTGCTTAAAATGAACATGTGCTCGGACATATTTAACCTGTTCGCGCCGACAGTCTGCCTCGCTGCCGAGCAGCCGTATATTTGCCTTATAAAGTAAACAAACGTGCCGAGAGTACACACCCTGCTTGATCCTGGCAGATTTACCAGTGCATCACGGAAAAGTTCCAATCACTATTTGCGATCAGAACCTTTCCAATCATGTGTCCACTATGTCAGCCAATCACGGCAGTCACATGACCCTAAACCCCGCCTCCCAGCATCACAAACTCCTTAAAGGGCTGGGAGGCACTGGCGCCAAGGGGTTAAAGTATATTTACCCCTTATAAACAAGCCGATAAAGCTCCTACACATGGTGATACATTAGGGGCTATGGCCGTCCAGAATAAATTACGCCTTTTGTATTACAGAATACGCTGTTACTGGCTATGGTGTCCGTTTATGACACAGAGAATAGCTGTGATTCAGAGGATTCACAGTTTATGACACTCAGGAGATCAGCGAGGAGCGATGTCAGCCCTTCACTGGAGATCTGTGTTCTCCCTCCAGATTCTCCAGCCCAAAGCTGGAGAATCGGAGGAACCGTAAACTAAGCAGCGGTAATTTACCTCTGCTTAGTAAACTGGTCTTTTACTGTAATCTCACGCTATTATAGTAAAAGCAGCCGTTTTCCAGCGTTTGTAGATTGTTCTCCCTTCGTTCGGAGAACTGATCTACATATGCTTCATAAACGGCATTCACAGGAGAACTGTGTTCTCCAAGAATGCCGGAGAACTGAGCAGTGATCATAGGTTCATAAACGGACACCTACAGTTGTGTTCAAAATAATAGCAGTGTGTTGAAAAAAGTGAATAAAGCTCAAAATCCTTCTAATAGCTTTTATTTCCATACACACAAATGCATTGGGAACACTACACATTCTATTCCAAATCAAAACATGAAGAAAAAAATGTCAAATTTATGTTGTTCCTATAAAAAAATTGAACATTAGACTGTTCAAAAAAAATTGCAGTGTTTGTATTCTTCTTTACAAACGCAAACATTCACTATATAAACTGAAAAATGTTTGAAGATTTTGCTTTCCTTTGAATCACTTATTTAATATTTAGTTGTATAAGCACTGTTTCTGAGAACTGCTGTACATCTGTGTTGCATGGAGTCAACCAACTTCTGGCACCTGTGAACAGGTATTCCAGCCCAGGATGATTGGACTACATTCCACAGTTCTTCTCTATTTCTTGGTTTTGCCTCAGAAACTGCATTTTTGATGTCACCCTGTCAGGGCTCCCAGGTATGACCAGAGATGTGTGACTGACGCAGGGAAACGCAGACTTCAGATATGGGATAAACAATATAATTTATTAACACTAACAATACAAACATAAACGCAGTGCAATACTAAACATAAATACAGTGCAAACAAACCAAACCAACCACCCACAGATAACAGTACATACAAGCAAGCGTCGTCAGGCAGGCCGGGTCAATATCAACTGGGCAGGTAGGTACAGGGGGAGCAAGCGGAGAATGGTCGGGGTCACAGGCCAGGTTCAGCAGGTAGCAAGCAGCGTAGTACAGAGGGTCAAGCAGAGGGATGGTCAGGGTCACAAGCCAGGGATCAGAACAGGTAGCAAGCAGCGTAGTACAGAGGGTCAGGCAGAGGGATGGTCAGGGTCACAAGCCAGGGATCAGGACAGGTAGCAAGCAGCGTAGTACAGAGGGTCAGCAAAGGAACAGAAACAGGATGCAGGACAGATACAGGGCCCAGGACAAACACACACCAAGGCAGAGTCTGTGGGTCTGGCCATCCCTTAAATACCCCAGCATAATCAGTTCCAGGTGTTAGCTGGCTGCAAAGTTGAGTCTCTGATTGCTGGGAGCACCCGCTGGCCAGCCCTGGTACTGCAGATCAAAGGCAGGTGAGTCCCACCATTGCTGGCCAGTCCATTCCTGACAGTACCCCCCCCTCAAGGAGCGGCCTCAGGACGCTCCAAAACAGTCCTAGCTGGGAAAAATGTTCCACCGCCCGGGTCTGGTAACTGGCGGGATATCAAAGACTGGCACACCTGGCAGGACTCCGGGCAGCGGTACACCAGGCAGAGGCACATCGGGCTGGACACCGGGCAGAGGCACATTGGGCTGGACTCCGGGCAGAGGCACATTGGGCAGGGCAGAAGCACATCGGGCAGAGGCACACCGGGCTGGACTCCGGGCAGAGGCACACCGGGCAGAGGCACATCGGGCAGAGGCACATCGGGCTGGACAGAGGCACATCGGGCTGGACTCCGGCAGAGGCACATCGGGCTGGACTCCGGGCAGAGGCACATCGGGCTGGACTCCGGGCAGAGGCACATCGGGCTGGACTCCGGGCAGAGGCACATCGGGCTGGACTCCGGGCAGAGGCACATCGGGCTGGACTCCGGGCAGAGGCACATCGGGCTGGACTCCGGGCAGAGGCACATCGGGCTGGACTCCGGGCAGAGGCACATCGGGCAGGACTCCGGGCAGAGGCACATCGGGCAGGACTCCGGGCAGAGGCACATCGGGCTGGACTCCGGGCAGAGGCACATCGGGCTGGACTCCGGGCAGAGGCACATCGGGCTGGACTCCGGGCAGAGGCACATCGGGCTGGACTCCGGGCAGAGGCACATCGGGCTGGACTCCGGGCAGAGGCACATCGGGCTGGACTCCGGGCAGAGGCACATCGGGCTGGACTCCGGGCAGAGGCACATCGGGATTACCAGGCGAAGCAGGCAGGGTCAGGGCGGGCAGCAGGCACCGGGCGGGCGGAGCGGCAGGCACCGGGCCCCCGGGCGGAGCAGCAGGCACCGGGCCCCCGGGCGGAGCAGCAGGCACCGGGCCCCCGGGCGGAGCAGCAGGCACGGGCCCCCGGGCGGAGCAGGGCCCCCAGGCAGCCGGGCCCCGGGCCCCCAGGCGGGGCGACCGGCATCGGCCCCCAGGCGGGGCGACACGGCATCGGGCCCCCAGGTGGGAGCGGCGGGCGCCGGGGCCCCAGGAGGGGCGACAGGCATCGGGCCCCCAGTGGAGGGGCGGGCCAGGCGGATCGGGCCCGGACCCCCAGGTGGAGCGACAGGTCTCGGGCCCTCAGGCGGAGCGGCGGGCTCCGGACCCCCAGATGGAGCGACAGGTCTCGGGCCCTCAGGCGGAGCGGCGGGCGCCGGACCCCCAGGTGGAGCGACAGGTCTCGGGCCCTCAGGCGGAGCGGCGGGTGCCGGACCCCCAGGTGGAGCGACAGGTCTCGGGCCCCCAGGCGGAGCGACAGGTCTCGGGCCCTCAGGCGGAGCGGCGGGCGCCGGACCCCCAGGTGGAGTGACAGGTCTCGGGCCCTCAGGCAGAGCGGCGGGCGCCGAGTCATCTGGCACGACAGTGGGCTCCGAGTCAACTGGCATGACCGCTGGCACTGGGTCAGACATTGGATCGTCTGGCTGGACAGCGGGCATCGGGTCACCCGGCATCAGGTCATTTGGCTCGACCGGCACCGCTCATCTGGCAAGGCAGTGGGCTCCGAGTCAACTGGATGACCGCGGGCACTGGGTCGCATCATCTGGCAAGGCATGGGCTCCAGGCATCAGGTCAACTGGTCATGACCGCGGGCACTGGGTCAGACATTGAATGACCGCGTCACTGGGTCAGACATTGAATCGTCTGACTGGACAGTGGGCATCGGGTCACCAGGCATCAGGTCATTTGGCTCAACAGCGGGCACCGCGTCATCTGGCAAGGCAGTGGGCTCCGAGTCAACTGGTATGACCGCGGGCACTGGGTCAGACATTGGATCATCTGACTGGACAGCGGGCATCGGGTCACCAGGCATCAGGTCATTTGGCTCAACAGCGGGCACCGCATCATCTGGCAAGGCAGTGGGCTCCGAATCAACAGGCACGACAGTGGGCACCGGGTCATCAGGTACCGGATTGTCTGGCTCGACAGCGGGCACTGGGTCACCAGGCATCAGGTCATTTGGCTTGCCAGCGGGCACCGCGTCATCTGGCAAGGCAGTGGGCACCGGGTCACCAGGCATTGGATCGTCTGGCTCGACAGCGGGCATCGGGTCACCAGGTATGACAGCGGGCACTGGGTCACCAGGCATCAGGTCATTTGGCTCGCCAGCGGGCACCGCGTCATCTGGCAAGGCAGTGGGCACCGAGTCACCAGGTACGACAGCGGGCTCTGAGTCAATTGGCACGACAGCGAGCACCAGATCAGGTACCGGATCATCTGGATCAACAGCGGGCATCGAGTCAACTGGCCTAATAGGATCATCAGGCTGGATCAGTTCATCATGCTGGGTAGAGGCATCAGGCTGAATGCCGGCGTCTGGCTGAGTAGAGGCTTCAGGCCGAGTAGAGGCTTCAGGCCGAGTAGAGGCTTCAGGCCGAGTAGAGGCATCAGGCCGAGTAGAGGATTCAGGCCGAGTAGAGGCTTCAGGCTGAGTAGAGGCTTCAGGCTGAACCACGGAAGGCAGGTTCACCAGTTTGGATACTGGCAGGATGGTATTGGTTGGAAAGAATTTTCGCTTTTTTCTGGTTTTAACTACTGGAGCACTGCAAGTAAACGCAGGTCTGCAAACGAATGGAGCAGCTGGAGACAGAGAAGAACTGGAGGATGGAACAGGAGAGGGAGCAGTTGCTACAGAGGGCTTTTTTTTTACAGGGTTAAAGGCAGGATAGGTGCAGCGAGTGGGAACAGGGTACTGACATGCGGTAGATAGCCAAGTATACTGGGCTGTAACTGGAGGAGCTGTTGGGAATACAGGAGAAGAGTTAGAAGCAGGACTGGGTTTTTGTAAGCTGACTGAGGCTGGGTGCAACAAGTCTGTCCATGTCTGCAGTAAGGGTTGAACAAAGCTGAGCTTACACAAAGCCTGTCTGGTCAATGACTGCACTGCGTTTATACAATCTCTTAGTGTCTGTGGTGAACATGTGGAATAACGCTCCAGAAAGTAACCCACATCATCCTCTAATAACCACACCAGGGACTCTACCTGGTCTGCACTAAATGGTGGCAAAAATTCATCCCTGCATTCGGGGGAACCAGATGAAACCAACTCTGCACAAACCTCAATCAAAGGCTGCACCTCAGAGAACTCTGTGCCCTGATCTACTAGAACATGAGCGAGCCGTATACATTCTAGCAGTTCATCCCGGGTATACTCCTTCAGAGTTTGATAAGCATACTCCCTGTCATCAAACACTAGCAGAGATAAATACTCAACCTCATCCAGATCCATCCTTCCCATCAACAAACCAAGATGGCTTCCCTGTGCAGCCACTTCTGGTCAGGATTGGCCTTGGTGTAATGTCAGGGCTCCCAGGTATGACCAGAGATGTGTGACTGACGCAGGGAAACGCAGACTTCAGATATGGGATAAACAATATAATTTATTAACACTAACAATACAAACATAAACGCAGTGCAATACTAAACATAATACAGTGCAAACAAACCAAACCAACCACCCACAGATAACAGTACATACAAGCAAGCGTCGTCAGGCAGGCCGGGTCAATATCAATTGGGCAGGTAGGTACAGGGGGAGCAAGCGGAGAATGGTCGGGGTCACAGGCCAGGTTCAGCAGGTAGCAAGCAGCGTAGTACAGAGGGTCAAGCAGAGGGATGGTCAGGGTCACAAGCCAGGGATCAGAACAGGTAGCAAGCAGCGTAGTACAGAGGGTCAGGCAGAGGGATGGTCAGGGTCACAAGCCAGGGATCAGGACAGGTAGCAAGCAGCGTAGTACAGAGGGTCAGCAAAGGAACAGAAACAGGATGCAGGACAGATACAGGGCCCAGGACAAACACACACCAAGGCAGAGTCTGTGGGTCTGGCCATCCCTTAAAATACCCCAGCATAATCAGTTCCAGGTGTTAGCTGGCTGCAAAGTTGAGTCTCTGATTGCTGGGAGCACCCGCTGGCCAGCCCTGGTACTGCAGATCAAAAGGCAGGTGAGTCCCACCATTGCTGGCCAGTCCATTCCTGACACACCCCACAAGTTTTCTTTTGGATTAAGATCCGGGGATTGGGCTGGCCACTCCATAACGTCAATCTTGTTGGTCTGGAACAAGATGTTGCACGTTTACTGCTGTGTTTGGGGTCGTTATCTTGTTGGAACATCCATTTCAAGGGCATTTCCTCTTCAGCATAAGGCAGCATGACCTCTTCAATTATTCTGATGTATCGAAACTGATCCATGATCCCTGGTATGCGGTAAATAGGCCCAACACCGTAGTATGAGAAACATCCCCATATCATGATGCTTGCGCAACCATGCTTCACTGTCTTCACAGTGTACTGTGGCTAGAATTCTGTGTTTGGGGGTCGTCTGACAAACTGTCTCCGGCCACTAGACCCAAAAAGAACAATCTTACTTTCATCAGTCCACAAAATGTTGCGCCATTTCTCTTTAGGCCAGTCAATGTGCTCTTTGGCAAATTGTAACCTCTTCAGCACGTCTTTTTTTCAACAGTGGGACTTTGCGGGGGCTTCTTGCAGATAGCTTGGCTTCACATAGGCGTCTTTCTAATTGTAACAGTACTCACAGGGAACTTTACACCTTCTTTGATCTTCCTGGAGCTGATTGTTGGCTGAGTCCTTGCCATTTTGGCTATTCTTCTATCCATTTGAATGGTAGTTTTTCGCTTTCTTCCACGTCTTTCAGGTTTTGGTTGCCATTTTAAAGCATTTGCGATCATTTTAGCTGAGCAGCCTATCATTTTCTCCACTTCATTATATGTTTTCCCCTCTCCAATCAACTTTTTAATCAAGGTACGCTGTTCTTCTGAACAATGTCTGGAACGACCCATTTACCTCAGAATTTCAGAGAGAAATGCACTGCAACCAGCATGTACAACCTTTGCTGCCTTCCTTCCTTAAATAAGGGCAATAATTGCCACCTGTTTTTCAAAGAATGAATGACCTCTCTAATAGAACTCCACACTGCTATTATTTTGAACATGCCACTTTCAATTAGTGATTCAATTACACAGAATCAGCCGCATGCATGTCATGACTGTTGGGTTTGTTGGATTTCTACTACTCTACTACATCTGCTAGTAAACTATTTGCCATGTAGAAATATAATTTCTACCAAAAACAGTGATTGATCAGGTTAGTGATGTCTGACTGCTATTATTTTGAACACAACTGTATATGCGAGTAAACACCAGCATTCTGGTTTACCCCACTTGTATATTCTTGTATTTTACATTTTGAAAAATATGCCCATACACATGCAAGTGCAAATGCAAGTGTCAGTGGTTAAGTATATATAACTTCACATAGCATATTCTGTAATGAATGTCAAAGGAAAAAATTATGTTGTAGCTGTGGCTCCTGGGTACACAACAACAGGTGTATTTTACTCTGTATGGCCTTACGCTTTAATGTATGGCCTTATACCTTATTGTACCATGCCAGAGCCGTAAAAAAAAGGAGACATTCACTTCTGTCACTGCAGCCATTGTGGAGAAATACAGCTTTAAACTTTAGAATAGAAGCACTGAAATCTCAGCTCCTCTCCCATTTATTTTCTGTAAAAGCAGAATCTTGGCAACCTACCAGCCTTCTTATGTAAATACATGGTAGATGCAATAAACTGTTAGAAATAGACTGAAACCTAACTTTGTTGTGATTTTTGAGGATTTTTTTTAGAACAAATTACTTCACAGTGCAAGCATCTTGGAAGGTCAGAAGTGGATTGTTTTAAAGCTCTTTTACTGCTTATTAGAAATATTTAAATACCTTAATGTCTATAGCATTGGCACAGGTGCACTTTGGGGCAAAATCAGTGTACCTACTGTATTCTCTTTTGCAACAAATAAATATCACTAGCCTCTTTCCTGTGTTCTTTACACTTATGTGTTGATTTTGATAAAGATGGAGCCATTTAATATATATCTGTTAAATTGCAGAGCATAATACAAACCAAGTTACCAAATCCTGGGGTATATAGATTATTTACTAATAAAATAAGTGAAAAAAATATCTGCATGAACATTACCAGCACCTAATGTTTAATAGGTTTGAATAATATTCAACAAATGGTAGCAAGCAGTCAGATTGGACATGTACATAAACTGTGCTGAAATTTTAAATGTGTGGGGCTCACTTAGCTTTATATATATTTCTAAAAACTCATGCAAAGCTTGCCTCACAAATCACTTTCCCATTGTACAATTAGGTTGATTTTTAAAAAAAATATATATTTAATATTTTAATTACATACTAAATTGCAATATCAGACTTTAACACCGGAGGGCTGAGAATTATAGACTTTCTTAATTCATGCTGATGTGAAATCGTCTAACAGTAATTTATTTTTAAAAAAAATGTTATTTTACTTATCTTTGTGTGTTCCCTCTTTCCGGTTTTTCTTGGGAACTGTTGCCATAACCAGGGCCTCGCAGACATCCACTGGGGAGGCTAGATCCCTAGTGCCTTCCATGAAGCTCTCAATTCTAAACTGCAAGATCTAAAGTGGAAAAAGCCTTTTTTTTTCAAGTGTATTGTTGTACTGTGCATGCAAGAGATAAGGTGCATGACATCAGAAGGAAGAAGAAGCCACCAACTGACCATAGAATTTTTCAAAATGGGGGCATTGGAGTGGGGCCCTGGCAAAACTGTTTCAGAGGGAAGGTGTCAGTATTTGAAAATTACGACACCTTGATAATAGTGTATCTCCTTTCCTAAATAGTTTAAATAGTTAAACAAAAACACAGCACTCTGTGTCACCAAAAAATGTTTCCAAAAACATGTAGAAATAAAAAATAATAAACTATAGGGAGACTACTGCACCTGCATATTAGAATACACAATATGTACAAAAAGATCTCACCAAGAAAGAGGTGTCTCTCAAAGTGCATAAGTTCTCATCTTGAAGATAAACTTTATAAATGCTCATACAAACACACAAATTCATAAATAAAAAACAATTCATATGCATAATCATACACCAAAAATACATATTATATGATTAAAAGTGAAAAAGTGCTCTTGTGCATGAACAGTCATTGTGCAAACTAATATACGTAAATAGAAACAGAAAGCTTATGCATACCAGTTCAAAAAACTTCATAGAATCCGTAAACTTTCAATATCCTTTGATCCAACATATACACCATCAACCACTCCCAGTGTCTCAAAATAACTTGTAAGGGGGACTCCATCGCTGCCAGTGCTCACTCCTTACCAAGAGTAGGTAACCTCCAGATCATATTAGGTTAAAAGCAATATAAGAAAAGAGACCTTCTGTGGTCACAGAGGCAATCATCAGGCTCCACGGCTATCACAATCTGGTCACCCATAGG